AATTCTGGGAGTTGAAGTCCACAAGTCTTAAAACTTGCCGAGTTTGAAGGCCCTTGATATAGGTAATTAACAGATAGCTATAGATATTGATTAGAGACAGATGATAGATAGATAGTTATAGATAGGATAGATAGATGATAGACAGATATAAGATAAACAGATACAAATAGAGCTATAGATGTTATAGAGACAGAGGATACATAGGTATAGATGATTAACAGATATATTGATTAGAAAGACAGATAGACCAAGGGTCTTCAAACTCGACAGATTTAAGACTTGTGGGCTTCAACTCCCAGAATTCCTCCTCCTCCAGCCATGTTGGCTCAGAAAGTCCACAAGTCTTAAAACTTGCCCAGTTTGAAGACCCTTGACCAAACAACTCCAGTGATTTGCTTAACAACTGTAGCAAGAAAAGTCATAAAAAGGGACGAAACTCAACCAATTTCTCCTTTGGCAACATAAATCCTGGCTCAATTGGGGCTGTAAGTTGAGGACTGCCTGTGATACTGTACTGGGGTCCCCTTTTGCGACCTTCTGGCAAGCAATGCCAACGGGGAAGCCAGATTCACTTAACAACCGGGTTACTAACTTAACAGGTGCACTGATTTGCTTAACAATTGTGGCAGGAAAAAATGGGGCAAAACTCACTTAGCGAATGCCTCATTTAGACTTGGGCTCAATCGGGTTCATAACTTGAGGACTACCTGCAATCCCTTTTCTGCATTCAGGGCCTCAGAGGTTGATCGAATGGATCCAGGATCCAACATGATCCCTGTGCAAAGCTGCATACCGGTAGAATAGAATAACTTTAGAACAACTTTTATTGTCACTTATGAATGTACCCTAATCCAGGGGTCTCCAACCTTGGCCACTTTAAGACTTGTGGACTTCAACTCCCAGAGCTTTGCTGGCTGAGGAATTCTGGGAGTTGAAGTCCACAAGTCTTAAAGGGGCCAAGGTTGGCGACCCCTGCCCTAATCGTCATACATTAAAAGGAGATTTCATTGCGTAAGGGCTTTTAAAGAGTCTCCACCTCTAATATACAGTACATAAGCATGACAGAATAAATAAATACAAAATTATGCATACACCCACCTATATTATATGACACAGACTTACTTACACAGACTCCTTTAACCTACACCCATAACTGAGCCCAAAATTCAGAAATTTGTTAGGTGAGTTTCGCCCCGTTTTACGACTTCCCTCTCCGCACATGTTAAGTGAATCGCTGCAGCTCTTAAATTAGTACGCCAGTCGTTAAGTGAATCGGGTTTCCCTCTTTGCTGGTCAGAAGGTCGCAAGAGGGGATGACGTGACTCTCCACCCCCCCACCAGACACTGCCACTGTCATAAATGTGAATCGGTTGTAATAATGGTTGAAAGTCACTTTTTTCAGGGCCATTGTAATGTCAAATGGTCACTAAAGGAACTGTTGTAAGTCAAGGACTGCCTGTACAAGATTAGAGCCTCCTTGGAGTGAAGTTGGAGGGTTTTTTATTTATTTAAATTACTTAATTCTGTTCACCAGAATGAATTGTCTGAATGAACCTGTTTTCTGGATTCAGCCTCTCCTTTAAACCATAAACTAGCCCAAATCAAGGCAGGTAGTCCTCGGCTTACAACAGTTCATTTAGTGGCCGTTTGAAAGTACAGTGGCACTGAAAAAAAAATGACTTGGGACCATTTTTCACACTTACGACCGTTGCAGCCTCCCCACTGTCACGTGATCAAAATTCAGCCACTTGGCAACTGACTCATACTTGTGACGGCTGCACGTGATCCCCTTTTGCGACCTCCGGACCAGCAAAGTCAGTGAGGAAGCCAAATTCAGTTAACGACCGGGTGACTCACTTAAGAACTGCAGCAATTCACTTAACGATGGTGACAAGGAAGGTCGTAAAACGGGGCGAGATTCCCCTAACCGATGTCCCGCATAGCCACAGCAAATGTGGTGCTCTATTGCCATAAATCGAGGGCTACTGGTGGTGAGCATTGCATGCTGTACTGGGGGAGCGAATGCGCCTTCTAAGCGTGTGCCGTGTGCAAAGCCAGCCAGAAAGGCACCTCGGGGGGGGGGGGGGGGGGGGTTGGGGGGGGGCGCGGGGGGGGGGGGGGGGGGAAGAAAAAGGGGGGGGGTAAAAAACCCCGGCGTTTTGTCCCCCCCCCCCCCCCCCCCAGTCTTTGCCTCCAGTCTCGCTCTTAGTCTGCCTAGATCAGGGGTCTTCAAACTCGGCAGCTTTAAGACTTGTGGACTTCAACTCCCAGAATTCTTCCTCCTCCAGTCATGTTAGCTCAGGAATTCTGGGAGTTAAAGACCATAAGCCTTAAACTTGCCAAGTTGGAAGACCCTTGTGATAGATGATACATAGATAGATTGATAGATGACAGATTGATTGATTGATTTTACAGGTAAATAGGTAGGTGGGGGGGGAGAGAGAGAGAGAGAGATGATAGATAGGTGATAAGTGATAAACCAGAGGTCGTCAAACTTGATAGCTTTAAAACGTATGGACTTCAACTCCCAGAATTCCTCCTCCTCCAGTCACGTTAGCTCAGGAATTCTGGGAGTTGAAGTCCACAAGTCTTAAACTTGCCAAGTTGGAAGACCCTTGTGGTCGATGATAGATAGATGATACATACATAGATAGATTGATTGATTTTACAGGTAAATAGGTAGGTACTGAGAGAGAGAGAGAAAAAGAGAGAGAGAGAGAGAAAGAGAGAGAGATCATAGATAGATAGGTGATAGATCAGGGGTCTTCAAACTTGATAGCTTTAAAACGTATAGACTTCAACTCAGCATAGTGATATGGAGAAACGGGGAATCTGTTTCCAGAATGTGGGGGGGATAAAACTGGAGGGGGAGAAAGGAAGGAGAAACAGGGAGGCTGGACACTGTGGCAGACCCCCCCCCCACCCACCCCCCTTAATCAGAAAGCGGAGGGGAGCGAGAGGAACAGAAGGAGACGGTGCTGGTTCTTTGGGCTGCAGGCTCTGGAGAGGGACCCCATCCCTCCCATGGCTGGTGGGCAGCCCCAGCGGGGATTACATGGGGTGGACGTAGGAGGCAGGGCTTCCCATCTGCTTAAAATCCTCCAGAGGCTTTGATGGAAGGGAGGGAAAAAGGAGGGAGGGAGGAAGGAAAGAAGGAAGGAAGGAAGGAGTATGGATGTCATGGAGGGAGGGACGGATGGAAGGAAGGAAGAGCGGAAGCAAAGGGAGAAATAGGGAAGGAAGGAAGGAAGGAAGGAAAAAGGCAGGAAGGAAGAATGGAAGGAAGGAGTGTGGATATCATGGAAGGAGGGAGACGGATGGAAGGAAGGAAGGAAGCAAAGGGAGAAATAGGGAGGGAAGGATGAGGCAGGGAAGAAGGAAGGAAAGGAAAGAGACAGAAAAGATAAAGAAAGCTCGGTGAGGAAGGAGGGGACCGTAGGAAGAAGATGGGAAGGAAGGAGATGAATAAGGAAACGGGAAATGCAAATACTACCCAGAATGGATCGTAGAGGGCGGAAAGGAAGCGCAGGGCGAGTCGGTGCCTGGATTCCCACCTGGCCCCCATCCGAGGGTCCTGCTGGCTGCAATGGAGCCACAAGCCAAGTGTAGTTAGGAGGACCCTGGCCGGGTAAGGTGGCTGGCACAGCGGATGCGCTCAGCTTAGGGTTCAGGCTGTCGTATGTTCTCGGGAAAGACCCCGGGGCCAGGGGTGGCGCAAGGTCAGGTCGATGTGTATGGAAGCCTGGGGAAGAAGGGGGGGTGGGGGGGGGGCCGCCTCGCCTGCCCCCCTCCCCCCCCCCCCCCCTTGGCAGCTATGGTATTGGGATGCTGCGTCCGGCCGAGCCCCCTTTTCACCTCTCCGCTCCTTCTCTGTGGCTCCTCCGGCAGGTCGTCAGCTGACTATCTTCAACAGCCAGGCCGCCATCAAGATCGGAGGCCGCGACCAAGGCCGCCCCTTCCAGGGCCAGGTCTCGGGGCTGTACTACAATGGGCTCAAGGTCCTCTCCTTGGCCGCTGAGAGCGACGCCAACGTGAAGGTGGAGGGCAACCTGCGGCTGGTGGGTGAGGTGCCCTCCGTCATGACCACCGAGACCACGGCCACCACCCTGCTGGCGGACATGTCCACGACCATCATGGAGACCACCACCACCATGGCCACGACCACCACGCGGCGGGGCCGTTCCCCCACCATGCGGGACAGCATCACGCAGGTCAGTGGGAGAAGGGAGGGCCGGCGGGGAGGGAGGGAGGAGAGATAGCTTGGAAGGAAGGAAGGAAGGAAGGAAGGAAGGAAGGAAGGAGATGAGAAGGAAGGAAGATCGCAATAGCACTTAGACTTATATACCACTTCGCAGTGCCCTACAGCCCTCTCTAAGCGGTTTACAGAGTCAGCCTCTTGCCACCAACAATCTGGGTCCTCATTTTACCTACCCTAGAAGGACAGAAGGCTGAGTCAATCTTGAGCCTGGTGAAATTTGAACTGCCAAATTGCGGGCAGCTGGCAGTTAGCAGAAGTAGCCTGCAGTACTGCACTCTAACCACTGTGCCACTGCGCTCTATCAAAAGTTTGTAAAGTAAAGCTACTTTGATTCCAAGGTGGACTTCCCAGTTTTATTTATTTGTTCATAATTTGGCACGCATTGTTTTTCTCCTGTGCTGGTTTCACCGTTCGGGGAAATGATCAGAGAGCAAAATAGCACCAACTGTTTCCAAAATCCGCGCATACACAACTTTGGACTGCAAAGTATCATCTGAGTCCCTTCAATCATTGGGGAAGCCTTTTGAAGTCGAGACAGCATCGACTTTTCAGCTTTCATGCTGCCCTTTTCACACTCTGTGCAAACTTCCAATGTAAATAAGCGTTTTGCACACTTCTCTCAGCTAGCTTTGGGGAGAGATAGGCATCATCCAAGAAGGATGAGAATACCAGACTTGGAAGGGACCTTTGGAGATCTTCTAGTCCAACCCTGTTCTCAAACAGGAGTCCCAAGGGACCACCACCGGCCTATGGCATTCCAGAAACAGGGCTATGCAAAAAGCGAAGCCCCATCCACGGGATCCAGACAACGTGAGAAACCACGTCCCCTCTGGTCCGTGGAAAAACCTCTTCCCAGAGAACTGGTCAGTGGTGCCCAAAATGTTGGCCTCTACCATGTCAGACAAATGGCTGCCCAATCTCTTCTTAAAAGCCTCCAACGATGGAGCAGCCACGACTTCTGCTTTCTGACATATGCTTCTGATGAAAAGTTCAATATTTGGGAAAGGTTCATACATGGTCCTATTCCCTCAACAACAAGCAACCTTTCTAAGAAATCCAGAAGTTCAGGTTTGCTTGTTCATCATCTACCGTTTCCCCCACAAAATAAGACCCCGTTTTCTTCTTCTGAGGCCAGCAAGGCCTTTCTGAAAGCCTCTGCAGCCGGCAAGAGAGTTCTGGATCGATCCGGAGCTTTGTTCTCAGCTACAGAGGCCTTCAGGAAAGCCTTGCCAGCCTTGCCAGCTGCAGAAGAGATGGGCCACCCAGGCAGCTGTCAGGATGTGCGAGGCCCGGCTACAACTGTCCAAAGGTAAGTAGGAGGGCCGCTCCACCTCCCCCATCCCCACCCTGGCTTAATTTTTACCTGTCTACTCTGGAGTGGGCAAGATCTTAATTAGGGCTTATTTTGGGGGGTAGGGCTTATATTGGATGCAAGTGCAAAAAATCAAACTAGGACTTACTTTCAGCGTAGTTCGTATTAACAGGGTAAATGTAGAGATGAATTATTTTTAACAGCGCATATTTATACCAAGTAACGGCAATACTATACAGCCCCATGTAGTGGAATTGTTCCTCTGTATCACTGGATTTTGCCTGATTCCACTCCCCCACCAACCCCCACAATGTTCCTCAACATCAACAACCACACCAACAAGGAAACAGGGCTGCAAAAGGACAGGGGACGATTGGTGTTGCATTTAGGGAACTGGAGTAAACATTAATCATCATAAAAGCTTGTTAAGGCTTCTTATTTAGAGCCTCACCAGAATGCAGGGTTCTTATTTTTTTTCAGGAGAAAGCCCAGTTGTGCAGCCAGGGTAAACCTGGTCTGTGTGTGGTTTGTACACAAAGGTGATTCCTCCAAGAGTGCGACAATATCTGTACCAGTGGTAGCTAACCTTTTCGGGCTCCTGTGCCAAAAATTGTGCACGCGCTGGTGCTCGTGTGCCAGTACCCAAAAGGCAATGCACATGCAGTATTAGGGGAAGTGATGAAACGGGCCTATTATTCGGCCTGCAAAGCCTGCAGCGGCTTTTTTCAAGCCTCTGAGAGGCCAAAAAAGGCATCGAACCAGCCGAAAAATCAGCTGTGAGGTGCGCATATGCGCAGTGAGGTAAGTTTGCCTGCAGCTCACGTACTGGCACAATTGGCTCTGCATGCCATCTATGGCACGTGTGCCATAGGTTCGCCATCACAGATCTATACAATTCCTCTTATTTTCCTGTTGTTAAGTTAGTCAGATGGTCGTTAAGCGAATCATGGCTTCTCCGTTGATTTTGCTTGTCCGAAGGTCGCAAAAGGGGATCACGTGATGACCCCGCCCCGGGGACATGGCAAACCTGTCATAAATATGAGTCCATTGCCCAGCATCCGAATTTTGATCCCGTGACCACGGGGGATGCTGCCACGGTTGTAAGTCTTTTTTTTTTTCCCCAGTGCCATGCTCATTTTGGACGGTCACTAAACGAACTGTTGTAAGTCGAGGACTTTCTGTACCTAGCCAGGCAACAGTGAGGTTTTGCGCAGCACCGAAACCAATCCTCAAATCCAGGGTTTGGTGTTGTTTTTTTTCCGCTCCTAAACTCTGCTGGCAGCGCATCTTACACACACACACACACACACACACACACACACACACACACACACACACACATCATGACAGAATCCTTTTCTGACCAATCTGGAATTTAAAGGGATGTTTTTCCATTGAAAAATATTATTTATTTTGGCCTGGGAAGACAAGTGTGCAGCTGAGAGAGCCTGCAGCGGGATTGAGCCGGTGTGTGTGTGCGCGTGCGTGTGTGTGTGTGTGTGTCTTTGCAAACCCAGCCCCCTCCCCCATATCCCAAGCCTTTGGGGGAGCAGCATGGAAAAGGGAAAAGGGCTTTTTCTAAAACAAACAAACACGTAAATAAGATTTCCTTCCTGCGGCATCAGATGATTCTGGGGGGGAGGGGAGGGGGGTATTGATTCATCTTTTGGGGAGGGGGCCTGAGGGTCCATACCCCTCGCCTCGGCTTTGCAGCGGTTCCCCCCCCCCCCCCCCAAAAAAAAAAAAAAAACCCTGCCTGGCCTCGCCCAGAGACAGTTTGGGCTTTCCTTCTTTTGATGGCAAGATGACTTTTGGGGAGGGGAAGCGAGCATCCTCGTCCTGCGGTTGCCGTGGCAACTGCATCAGCAGCAATTAGGCTGTCCTGGTTTTTGTGAGAAGAAGAGAAGAGAAAGGGGGGGTGGGGGAGGACCGGGGAGGGGGAGGCTGGCGAGGGAGCTTGCAAGGATGGTTGGGAGGGGCACGCTCCTCCGTGGTGCAGCTGACGCCTCCTGGAAACGCTCCATGGCTGCGGTGGCAGCCTTGCGTTCCCCCAAAGCGGCAACGTTGCCAGAAAACACCACACACACACACACACACACACACACTTTGTATGGGGAGTTTCCAGCCTCTTCCCCCCCCCCCATAGTCCTCAGCATAATGACCACAATGAGGGAACGCAATTCCCATCGCTAAGTGAGCCCCGCCTGCTTTGTCCGCTTTTCTGCCCCGGTTGTTAAGCAGATCACACGGTCGTTAAGCAAATCCAGCCTGCAACCGTTGTTAAAACACATGCCGCTCGCCAACGGCCCAGCGTTGGGACCATAGGGGATGCTGCCCTGGTTGCAACAGCGAGGACCAGCCGTAAGTCAGTGCTTTTCCAGTGCTGTGGCAACATCGAACGGTCATTTCAACAAGCGGTCTTAAGTCAGGGACTGCCTGTACTCCCAAGGGTTCATGGACTGTCCCACTGGGGGGGGGGGGGGGGATGGATTCGTGTTCGGCCTTTGGAGAGCAACCAGCCTTTCCCTGTATTTTTTTTTTTAATTTTATTCATAAACATTTTTGAATACAGTGTTTGGTCAGAGAATACCATTTACAAGAAACCAAAACCACAGCTAATACTAGAACAGGTATTAACCCGTTCATTGATAATAGGGAGACCTGCAGAAGCTGCTGTTGCTGCTCTCGTGGTTGCTATTAATTTATTTTATTTATTTATTTTTATTTATTTATTTGTCAAGCAAGTATTAGATAGCAGGTCTAAGTATAAACGTGGTTATGAGTCCATGAAATGGATACGAATAAAAAGAAAAGAGGCAATAGGACAGGGAGGGTAGGCACATTGGTGCGCTTATGCACGCCCCTTACAGACCCTCTTAGGAAAGGGGTGAGGTCAATAGGAGACAGTCTAAGGTTAAAGTTTTTGGGGTTTGGGGAAGAAATTGAATTTAATAATAGTAATTCCACACTCAGGGCTCCTAGCAAGGAGTGTGGAATTGCAGGTAGCCCTTAACTAGAAGGGAGTGTGGCTTGTGGAGAGGAGAAAGAGGGGTCTTTGGTGACCTCTGGGCTTGCTTGTTTTCTTGCAGACGTTTCATGACCCAACTAGGTCACATCATCAGTGCTAGAAGGGTTTGTTCTCTGTTTATATACAGGTAGTCCCCGACTTACAACAGTTCATTTAGTGACTGTTTGACGTTACCACGGTACCGACTAAAGTGACTTGTGACCATTTTCCACACTAACCAACCTTTGCAGCATCCCCGCAATGACGTGATCAAAATTCAGCCACTTGGCAACTGGTTCACACTTACGACCGTTGCAGTGTCCCTCCCGGGGGGGGGGTCCTCATACGATCCCCTTTTGTGACCTTCTGACAAGCAAAATCAATGAGGGAAGCCAGATTCGCTTAGCCACCGGGTGTCCAACTTATCAACTGCTGCAGCGATTCACTTAACAACCGGGGCAAGCAAGCTCGTAAAAGGGCACAAAGCTCCATTAACAAACGTCTCACTTAGAGACAGAAATGTGGGATTTTCCATTGCAGTCATAAATCGAGGACTACCTGTATTCTGTTTCGCAGAGCTCTCGTGACTCTCGTCCCAGTTGGGTTTTCTTTTTTAAGGGCTGTATTTATATCT